TTTAGCTTACACTGACTCTATAAGGTTTATGTCACCTTATGACTGAATTAATGACAAATTTTCCTAATATTTTTTGGCAGAATGAATTATATAGGTTTGAAACAGGTGGCTGATTTTAAACACTGAGTCGTGATACTCTCACCTGGAGGAGAACAACGTCGTTTAGCTGAGTGAACATCTTCAGACATAAATGGAAACGCTGACACGGTAAACATGTTTTTCTGATTTTTCCTCATAATGTTTGTCTTTTTATTCTTTATTATTTGCAGTTTTGGATGAAACACAAGCTGTGAATATTTCCTTCAGTAAATATTCCATGTTATGTACTTTAACTTCGCGGGTGCCAATAACGGTGAGCAGGACTGGAAGTAAAGCATGACTTCTAAATTCATAATGTGTCAGCAAGGAAGAAAAGGCGATATAGTTTAGTAAATGAATTGATGCCATTTGTCAGTCTTTAATAATACCAGTTAAACTGCAACAAATATAGATACATAATTTATATATAAAGAAAGAGGAGTTGTCAATGAGCCAATCAAATATTAGGATTACAGCTGATATTTAAATTACTATCAAGATAACAAATTTTGCAGGACGATAAAGTTATTGCGATAAACGATAACATTGTTGTTTTGAGATGATTTTCAAGTCACAAAATTTTTATGGTCTTATGATGCAAACAGACATAGTCAGAGATGAACAAACTTCTGATGAATATTTAACTCTGGACCCAGATTACATTTTAGATATCTAAAATAAACAAAGCAAATAACAGCAACAACAAATTAAATGAATTACGAAGTCTCTGAAATGACCTTCAAGACAATGTCTAGTTGAGACCAATTTACCAGACTGAAGACTTACATCATCCAGTTTCTGGTACAAAGACAGAGAAAAGGAAGAAACTATTAATCATCAAAATGGAAATTACTGATCTCGTTTCAATTTATCAGGCAATTAATTGATTTATGGCGAGAGAGGTAATAGATAATCTGTCCACCCATCAAGAGGAGCCATAAATCCCTGTTTTTTTTTTTTTTAACACTTGTAGACTCCATTCTATGGGAGGCCAAAAGTGAAACATTTGTTGCAGCTGCTGCTGTTCACTCGTCCCTCTGCTCTGTATCAAATGACACAAAAACCTCAGAAGAAGACGCTGAGTGCAGCTTCCTTCCTTCCTTCTGCACAAAATGTAACCAAAAATCAGATTTCAGTGGTTTGAGGATTTATCTTTGGTCTTTGATAAAAGACCAGGAGGCATTTGTCCCACTAGCGCCAGGCTCTTGTGGTTTTTTTTTTTTTTTTTTTTTTTTTCCCAAAATTCCCTGCGTTATAGCTAGCTTCCTGCTTCTGGAGCGGCCTCGGCATCCACATAAGCATTGATACTGCCAGAGTTCACTGCATCGTGTGTTTTTTTAGTCCGCGTCAGAGTTCGACAACTCCCCAAACGAACAGGACTTTCCTGTTCGATTAACGCAAACAAAGCTGAACCCCTAAACCTCAGGACGTCTCACAATCTTCCAGTCTTCTTTGTTAGATTTTTCCAACGGTTTAGATGTGGAGTCGATTCTCTGTCAAGGAAGGAAGAGTTAAAAAAAAAAAAAAGAGTCAAATCTAAAATTATTAATGTACTTCGGCTCATGTCTCAGATGTGGCCGGGTTCTTTAACTGCAGGGATGAATCAGAGCCTCAGGCTATGAAAACCAGCTCCAGCATAAATCTGAGGCAATTAACTCCAGGTACAAACCAGGTACGTTTATGGTGAGTAAAATCTTTAACTTGCAGGGGACATATTAAAGGATCAAACAGCCTAGAAATAAATAAATAAATAAAAAATAAAAGTACGCCTCCTTGAGACTCAACTGGAGATGAATCACTATCACTTCTTGTTTTCTTCAGCTAAAAAGGCAATTAGGCAAACACATTGTCTTTCTCTTTCTTCCTTTCTTTAATTAAAATTCAGCAGTTCAGGGAACAATGGCGGTGTAAAAAAAAAAGAAAAAGGGAGACAAAAAGGGCTGAACTCCTCACTTATGCTATTCTCTTTTTGACGCGGCACTCACAACACCTAACAAAGTGCGCTCCGCAAACAAATAGTACATGGCAGAGGCTGCTCAATGAGAGGGAAGAGCAATTACTCCGCTCATAGCGGGATGCGTTTCTCGCTAATAAGAGCCGCCGATTTCACTCTGCTCGACACAAAACTCCTTTTGTCGTCTGCTCTCGTGCTTCTTAAGGCACGCAGAGAGCCTCCGATTGGAAAACAAAAGGAGGGAGCTTTTGGGATGTCTGGTTGGCCCCGCTAATTAGGAGCTCTGTAGATAGACCCACGCTCCGCTGGGTAGTAGACGAGCACACGCAACCGCACACTTGCGCATCCATTGCTCGCACATCCACAACACGCCTTCCTATATTGTTTACAAATCCCCCCCGAGATTAAACTTCGCAGCAGAACAATATCTGATCGCTACGAAGATAAACACGGGCTCCTCCGGGGGGTCTGATTGTTAGAACAAGGGCTCTTTTCCTGTCGAGACGTGAGAAACACTCGAGCGTATTCCGCTCACGTCTCCCAAGTCTCGCCGCTGACCACAGGAGACCCCCAGCTCCCCGACTCTGAGGGAGGAGCCGCAACGCTCCGATAACGGATTCTGATAACGACGCGTGTGGGAACCCCGGGGGGTCCGGGGCGCAGACGTCCCGGGAAGTCGGCTTTGTCTGACGTCGAAATTCCTTGCGCGAGGCTTTCCGACGGGATGACGCGATCGCATTTGTCCTGCAGGTGGGGGGGCGGGGGGTGGATGGGGTCCATAACAGGCGGGAATCCTTGAGTAACAAGAGTTCAAGCATTAAAGCAACTTTTTTCTCCCTGCAGTTCGTGCTATTAATTAAATATAACTAATCCATTAAAACCTTTTAGCAACTCATAAAGTCGGCTCCAGATGGATTATTGCATTAGTAATCCTCGGCAGAGAACAGCTTGAAACCACACAGAAGTGTTAGTCGGAGTGATTATTTTTTTTTTCATGCATTAATTTTAATGGTTTTAATATTAAATTATTACTTTCTGGCATTTAAAGGTGCTTTATGGCTCCGTGTGACTCAGACAATTAGAAACGGAGTCAAGTCGGAGTTCTCACATGAGTGAAAGCAGCGCTGCCTCCTGTTCCACGGCGCGGCGGAGCGCCGAGCCTGTGCTTTGTTCTCAGTAACTCAATAAAAAGGCAGAATCATCATCAATGCGCTCAGGTTTCATATAGATCCCGTCTCTGTGATTGATTCGGGACTTTTCTGGCTTCTTATGCTCAAACTGGATTGAAAACGGCACGAGCATGTAACATTCAGCTGGAATAAAATATTCAAGTTTTATGGAAGCATGTTGAAGTGACAATCTTACTGAGGCTTCATTTGAGTTGAAATGAAAAAGACTAGTTAAAGTTTCATTTGTATCTCGCTGAATTTAAAGGGTGTTTAACCAATATAATGACTCTGTTGTTTTAAGTATGATTGGTCATTTTTCACATAAGGTACATGAGCTAAAGTTAAAGGATGTGGACGTCAACATTTGTTTCAAATTAGAAGTGCTGTTTTCTAATGTCAAGTTCACAATTACGGTTTTCCAAAAAAAAAATCCCCCCCCCCCAAAAAAAAAAAAAAAAAAAAATCACATATAAATAATTCATCGAAGTCATTAGAAAACATCATCCTCCTACCACTTCCTGTTGTCTTTGTCGTCTTTTCCACCAGTAGTAGCATACGGTTGTTCATCACATGACTTCTGTGATGCAAAACAAAACATTTCCGTTTTGTTTTGTTGTTGTTCTAAAAGCTGCTTTGCATGGTTAGTTCTGCTCCTCAGCATTTTGCATGAATTACAGTACAAAAAGGAGACTATTTATTTAGCACATGTGAATAAATAGTGTGTATGGAATCTTTTTGGTGTGAATATGTGTACTCCTACCAATTAGCATGTAATTTAATCTGAGTGTAAAATGAGTGAGAGAAAATTAGTGAGCAAAAAAGATCCGTTTATGTTCTGGTAATAATTGGATTTTCTAATCAGAAACCAGAGAGAAAATACAAGAAGTTATTTGATTTTTTTTTTTTTTTTGGTTCTAAAAAAGGTCAAATTTAACCTGTTTCGTATTAGGCGGTGGAAAAATGAATGAAGAAAATGAATTGCCATAATAAAAAAAGAAAACACAAAATCTGTGGTTTCAGGAAATTAAAACCAGACCATTTAAATTTCCTCAGCTGAACATTTTTTACTTTTCTTTAAGAACGTAAAACGCTGACAGGGCTAGTTTGTTTGAGTTTAATAAGCTAAAGTGTCGGTCGGCTTCCTGATCAATCCCAACACCTTTCCTCTATGTGCCAGAACTGCAATGCAATGATTCAAATACAAATCAAATGTGCACATTATCAAAATTCAATGAAGAATAACTCGACGCAGTAAGGATTACAGACTGTATTTGCAAAAATCCCCCAAAACACTCAAAAGACAGTGAGATGGATCTACAAAGAGCCGACTTATGGTGGCTTTATACTTCTCAGATTTTTTTTCTTTTGTTTTGAAAGACAAGTGTCATTTTCCTTCCACATTAAGAATAATTTCTGCTGGCCTATCATATTAAACCCAATAAAATATGTGGAGGTTTGTCACTACATACATACAAACTGTATAAAGGCAGCAATGAGAAGTTTTACAAGTATCTAATTCAGAATTTATAGTAGAGGCAGCATTAAGGAGAAAGCTCTCAGATTTACTGACATCTTGTGGCAAAACTGTGAAATGCAGCAAAAAGTATTGGCGGCATTAGGAACCCGATGAGAACCTTTGTGTGACCGCGAACCGCACCGTAAACGGCTGCTGCTGCTCGACCACAACGATGACTCGACAGTTCACAGCTCAGGCTGCTTGAAACAAACTGATTTATCGCTGATGTGACTTTGTTTGAGCCACAGTTTTCCACATTCGCAGAGCCGCTGAACCGTCTTACCTGGTTTGGACCCTTCAGCCACCGAGCCGTTGTAAACCTGGTTTTGAAACTCGGGTCTGTTGTCGTTCATGTCGATCACGTAGATGTACAGGTCTATCGGGTTCTCCACCTGGTTCCCATTCATGTCCACTGCGTGGGCTCGCAGCTGAAAAACAAAAAGCGAGAGGAGAGAGTCGTAAGGGGTTCGGGGCGAAGCGCCTCTTCCGGTCTCAACCGCGGGGTTCTCCGGACTGGACCGAGCGCAACAACAGACGCAACCTTGATTTTTGTTAATTGGCAGCTGCATTTAACTGGCAGACATCCATAGGTGCCACTGATGCAGTGGCATCCAGCTGGCGTCTTGGCACAGGGAGCAAACGACACAAAGGTGTTGGGGGG